GTCCCATTTGTTAAAAAAGTCAAAGATGAAAAAGTTACACACGCAAAGAACCAAGGGCCCCCCGTACCCACCCCAATGGACCTTGTGGAAATAAATGGATTAGTCCATCAAATTGCTCATCAAAATTTAGCTGTGTATACCAAATTTCATTCATTTATCACAACGCAATTGAGAGATATTGCAAACAAATGATTTCCATTTCTCCCTCTTCAATGGGTCCCTGTGCCCTTAGGAAGCATTTCCGGACCCATGTTCATATGAACATTTTTACTTAGTTTTGATCATAGAATCGGCCTGTTCAGGGTTGGCAGCTAATTATGAGACACCCTGTATATGGCTACTGTCTTGACGAATTTGATAAAAATCGTATTCAAAAAGTTCAGAATTCATGTTGTCGTTCCATTTTTGGATTAAGAAAGTCTGATCATATTTGTCACAGGAAATGTAAGGAATGTAACTGGCTTAACATGAATAATCGGAGAGTTCATCATCTTACTACATTTGCTCATAAAATACTGATATTCCCCAATTCATCAGTTTTACTCAAAAACAAATTTATAAAACGTTCCAATATCCACCAAAGAGATATTAGATTTAAAAGTACTTTTACCCTTCCACATCATCGTACTGCTATGCTATGTTTAGGAGAAGTTTTATATATAGTGCAGTTACCATTTACAAATCAATACCTAACCAATTTAAAGTTTTTAATATTAACAAATTTAAATATAAATAAATATAAAAAATATATATTTAGCAAACAGTAGGGTTATAGTTTCCTATACATTATCCGCACTTGCCCGTCTCACTTTTAGACATTTTTAATGTGATAATTTTTGTTTTTAATTTTAATTAGCTTATACTTTGCTTACTTTTTTATTTTTTTTATATAGTAATAGTTAGACAGCTGTTTGTATACTTTTATTTTGAAATGTAGTGTGCCTCATTTTTGTTGAGTATGAGTAGCTCTTAGCTAGACTTCGCCTGAATGAGGTGCCATTGCTTTTCGCAATATGTTTACCTTTGTTCTTTTTTCTTATTCTTTTTTATATCTATTTCTCTTTGTATATTTGTAGTTACAATAAAGCCGATTTATTATTAGTATTATTTGTCTTTCGGGCAGAATTTGGAAACAACTATAGAAAGGATATTAAAGGATAATTAGGTGCAACTTGCTTTCACCGCCAGCTTTTCATAATTTGTTTTGGTGAAAGAAATAAGTAAACAATTCTGTCATAAAATGAATATATTACATTACGATATAAAATTATTGCTATACATTTACCTTTTCAAAATATGCCATTATAACTACAAGTTGACTATTAACAGATTTTACATATTCTAAATTTTTATTTTCTCCAAGTACCTCCCAAAACTCAACTAAAATAATTAGTGGTACAATTATTAGAAACTGTTTTGTCAATGTGGTACAACGGATATTATTATTTTTTTAATTTATAAATGATTTTATTAAAATTAGGATTGGTTCTTTTTGTGCTTATACAATAAAGTACATATAATCATTAATATCAGCTTAAGAAGAAGAATGTAAATAAATAAATGAAGTATATTATATACCAACATAAAAAAATCAAATATTGATGATATATGCAAAACTTGCATTAAGTACTTTCAAACAAATGCTCAAAAATTTTTTGAAAAGTTAGTTATACGATATAAAATATGTGTATTAACATATAAAACCGGCTGCAGATGATACGGTCACTTGCCAAACGTTCATCAAGCAGAAATGTGTCAAATATTTGCATTTGGCCAAAACCTATAGTGCCAAGCAATATCATACACATCTAACAGGAGCACATGACAAATATACCAATAGGTTCCACATATATGTAATGTATATACTTACCAATTGTGTACACTTGTCACTTTTTATACAAATATAGAGAACAATATAAAGTGGAATTTGCTTGGGGTTGACAGTGGTGTCTGTACATTTGGGCAGATTCATTTTCTTTTATATGTATCTATTTAGCGTCACCACTATCACATACAGAATAACATACTTGTTAAATAGTCCAAAAGGTGGTTTTTTTGTAAAAGCTTGGCGAATATTCGGCAAGTGAATGTATCGTCTGCAGCCGGCTTAAAAGTTGTACTGGATTTGAATAATGTTTTAGTTTATTTTATAAAGTTAAAAGTGGAAACAAAAAGAGTTATTGGAAAGATGAGGAATAGTTGATCACTTTAGTGATTTAGTGTAGCTTGCTGTGATAAAATCGCTGTAAATTTATATTATACATCATTTACGAGAATGTGTATGACTATCAGAAACAGTTAATAAAATTACTTGATATTCGATTCTGTGCGGTGTGTTAAATTCGAAAATATACTGGCATGTGCAGTAACACTGATTATTTAGCATCTTTAAATATATTTTAGTTTATATTGTTTCGATAATTTTACTTAATAAAATTGATGTTCCTCCGTAAATAGGAATATGACGCGACATTTCTTTTCTAATTACAAATATTATACAGCGTGGTAAAAAAGTTCTGCATAAAATTCATATTTTCGTTAAACAATTTTTTTTTCGAAAAACGGTGAGACCCGTCGATTTTTATTTGATCCAGGGCACCTTGTTATGTGGAAAAATTTTTTTTTCGATAATCCACTTACGGCAGCGATGACATAATTTTTTTTTAAATGACAACGCATATTTTTTTCGTTCGAAATTGATGACAGTGATAATTATCTAAACAACGGTGTGAAAATTTCGATGTCTTACATAACAATTTTTTTTAGAAAAATGCACCTTAAGTTCTTGAATGCAATAATTTGCTGTTTACGGATCAAATGCCTTAGAAAAAAATTTATTCGGCAGAAAGCATTTCAGATAACTTAAGTTGCAACTGGTGTTATGTAATATTTGCGGAATTATTCATCAGATATTGTCAGGATCCTGATTAAACTGCAAAATTTAGAACCAAGTTCAACCGCACAAAATCCAAATAGTATGTAGCAAATTAAGGTCGACTTTTTGTCTTCGAGTTTGCCGATAAATTCCTAAAAAAAAAAGATCCAAAGAAATGTTTACTTGAAAGGAGTAGATTACCTGAAATATTGAAGACTAAAAATCAGTACCGATTTAACATTCTTTGGTGAAATCGTTTAATTCGAAATGGCAAAACTTAGTGAACGCGAAAGAATTGATATTTTGAGGATGATTGGTTTCGGCGATAAGTTACGAACCCATCAAGAAGCTTGCCAATTATTTAATGCAACGTACCCTGACAGACCACCAATTACGCAATCTACGGTTAGTAGGGTACTGGCAAGGTTTGAGGAAACTGGTAGTGTGAAAGATGCTCCTCGTGCGGGTCGTCCTAGAGTAGATGATGAAACTAGATTGAATATCCTGGTGGAGCTCCAGGACAACCCTCATTCTAGTACAAGGTCGATTGCATTGAACAATGATATTTCACATGTAACTGTGGTGAACTTTCTCAAAAAAGAGAAATTTCACCCCTATAAGGGTCACTTGATACATGCATTGACTGAGGACGACCCAGACCGCCGTCTCCACTTTTGTGAAGATTTAATGCATCGATGTAACGGAGACCCCGACTTCCTCAAGAACATAATTTTTTCTGACGAGGCTACTTTTTATCTTAATGGATCGGTGCATCGACATAACTGCCGGTATTGGTCTCAGGAAAACCCGCACTGGGTGCAAGAAGTAGATCATCAGCACCCCCGAAAGGTGAACGTTTGGGCGGGAATAATAGGGCGTCGTATTTTAGGCCCGTATTTTTTCGAGGAAAATTTAACTGCTGCTCGCTATTTGGATTTCCTGCGGTTCGATTTGGTCCCAAGCTTAGCAGAGTTATTCCCGAACAACGAGGATCCTGATATTCCTGAGGAAAGAATTTGGTTTCAGCAGGATGGTGCACCGCCCCATTATGGAGTGCAAGTACGGGAGTACTTGAATAACACGTTTACTGGCCGGTGGATCGGGCGACGCGGAACAATCGAGTGGCCTCCGCGTTCGCCTGATTTAACACCTCTAGACTTTTTTTTGTGGGGCTATTTGAAATCGCGTGTGTACACAAACAGACCAGGTGATTTGGAAGAACTTAAAAACCGTATTCGTTTTGAAATAAATCAAATCGACCCGGGAATGCTTGAACGAAGTGTAGACGGCGTTTACACACGCTTAGGACAATGCCAAATGGTACAGGGTGGGCAATTCGAACAATTTCGCTAGACTTACACAAACATTAGTGTAATTTTACTCGTTTGAAATGTAATTTTGTCAACTTTGTCCTTTTCGGAGCCATTAATAGTGTAAGTAGACAATTATCACTTATAAGAACTTAAGGTGCATTTTTCTAAAAAAAATTGTTATGTAAGACATCGAAATTTTCACACCGTTGTTTAGATAATTATCACTGTCATCAATTTCGAACGAAAAAAATATGCGTTGTCATTTAAAAAAAAATATGTCATCGCTGCTGTAAGTGGATTATCGAAAAACAAATTTTTCCACATAACAAGGTGCCCTGGATCAAATAAAAATCGACGGGTCTCACCGCTTTTCAAAAAAAAATTGTTTAACGAAAATATGAATTTTATACAGAACTTTTTTACCACGCTGTATATTATAAGAACGTTATTATCTATGAATTCGATATCAAAATATCGTACAAACATTGTATCAAATACTTCTATCTCCCAATATTTCCAATTGTATTAACTGACATTGTTACAGATTAACAAAATTTCAATTATTAATTATTAGTTGATCTATTTTGTTAATGTTTAAATTAAAATATCTAGAATATTATTCTAGATAAATATTATAACTATCTACCTAAATCACTATAAAATCTCTTAGTAACCTTTAAAAAATAAATAACAAATGTTTTATTCTAATCCTTGACAATGTATACAATTCTTATGTATTAAATTTAATGTTATGCTAATTTAACAAAATGTGCAATTATTACAATATTCTTTTTTTTTCTGTTATGTATATTTTGATGATTTATATATAAATAAATTAAAAATTCCCATTTATAAACATTTTATAAATTATAAATATATAAATATATCCACAACTATTATGACCAAAACATTAAAAGAATTTGCGTCGAATTTACGGAAAATTTTCGGAATTAGTATTATGTATTTCCAAACAGGAGAGAAACATTTTCCTATAGATCACAGAAATTATCATTCCTTAACAGTTTCTATAACAGTAATAAATTTAAAAAAACTTCGCACTGTTACGGTGCTAGTAGCCTTTTATTTTCTCATTCATTGCATTGTTTGTTCTATTTTCAACACCATTTGATATCATTCCATTCTCCTCGTGCTTTTTCTTTCTTTGGCTTTTCACGTATTGTGCGTTATAAAAGGCTCCGAACAAATAGAAGAAATATCCTGCTTGAATGGACAAAAGTACGTTGAGAAACTTTGGATAATCGCAATCACGGAAGATCACTTGGAAGTTGTGGACAAATACCATGCAAAATTGGACCTAAAATTTTGATATTTACAAATATATGTTGTCTAACACCAAAGAACGGTTAGATTAAGGTAAAATTTTTAATAAAATATATTCAAATGAAATGAATGGTAATTTTTAAACTATTTGGAAATTCATTTGTTTTTTAATGTCAGAAATTTCCAGAAGCCTTTCAAAAGGGATAATACTTTTTTAAATCTTCTCTCTTTGACAACTTTTATAAAAATTTCTTTCAAATAGTATTATAATAGATGGATTTTAAGTTACACTGCCATATGCCTATATATTCTGAATACTTACCATTTGCAAAGCGGTTAAATGTTTCTTCCACCAAAGATATTTCTGATATTCTGGTCCGAGAGCTGCTACGAAATAGTAAGCATACATTATGACGTGAATAAAGGAATTTATTAGTCCCAATAAGGTTCCATGTCCTCCTGAAAACAACAAAGGTGATTATTGAAGATTACATGCACTAGTTGCGTTTCAAGATAAATATGATAAAATAGTAGCAATTGTGAAAGTATGGATAAAACAATTACTACTCCCTAAAATTCGTATAATGCTACTGTTTATACAACACGACTGCAGTGATGGTTGCCTAGTCTTAAGCGATCTCGAGATTATCACCATTTTCTCACCTTATTTGTCTCAGACGCAACTCCTTTTTTCCCAAATAGAATAACTTATTTCCGGATTTATCGAATGGAGTTTGCAAACTATAAATGAAATGTCAAAATTTTCATTTGTTTTTTTCATGGCTACTACGATAAAGTTGAATAAATCATAACATTGACGTTTTTTGGCATTTAATAAAATCTCTTCACCTAAGTGTTACAAATCCTTGAATTCAAAATTTGATATTTCATCTAATGGTGCAAAAATCCACTATGGCTTCCATAAGAAAATCTAAAGTTTGTTATGACAACATAAGGATCTAGGAAGCCTAGAAGGTGTCCTAATCTTTCAACAGATAAAGTATATGCGTTAATCACGATAATTTACTTACCAAACTTTATGATTATGGCATAAGAGATGTTCCGTTGAACTGGTTACTGTATTTTTTCAAAATTTCGGAAACAATATCTTTCTATACAACATATTAAATCGGATACTTTGAATAATGAGTCAATTCTGACTATATCTTAATTGAAATAGGAGTATCGCAGGGCTCTGTTCTGGGACCTGTGTTTTTCATTTTATATGTCAATTCAATAGAAAATATAATAGGTAACGAATGTTTTACCATGTATGCCGACGATTTATCTTTGATTATTTCAAGTAACTCGAATAAAAAAATCTTATCATCGATATTAATAAGATGATTGAAAATATATGTGCATGGTTTAATCAGAACTATTTATATTTAATTGTAAATAAAACGCAAATGATAAGATTTCATAACAGACAAAGAAAATGTGGCGACCTAATAATAAAAATTAATAACTATATCATTGAGAATGACGCTTTAGGCAGTGTTAAATTTCTGGGAATTTATTTCGACGAAACCTTTAATTGGATTGCATTGTAACCTCTCGTTTCCACCTTGAGTTCAGTAAATTTTTTATTTAAAAACATGAAAACAATTTTAGTCAAAAATCAGTTAATTTATATTATGCTCAAGTAGAATCGCGTCTTCGATATGGTGTCTGTTTCTGGGGCGACTCCACCCTCTCACATTCTGTTTTTATTTCACAAAAGCGTATTTTGCGCAAATTGCTAGTGTATCCAGTAACATATCTGTAGACATATTTTTAAATAGTACAAAATTTTAACATTAAGTTCGTTATATATATTTGATATGTGTATTTATGTTTTTAAAAATAGGCAAAAATTTTATTTAAGTAGGGACATACAGGTTCGGAAAGTACCGATGGTCCATCTGCCGTTACGTGAGAGCGATAAAGTTAGACATATAAATACATGCGATAGAGAAGGATGGCTATAATGAAGGCGTCTCATAGTCACCGCCCGTTTCGCTCTTCCACAAATAAGATCCACTTCTTATTTGTGGAAGGGCGAAATGGGCGGTGACTATTAGACGCCTTCATTATAGCCATCTTTCTCTATCGCACGGATTTCTATGACTAACTTTTTCGCTCTCACGTAACGGCAGATGGACCATCGGTACTTTCCGACCCTGTATATGATGTAAATAGAAAGCATAAAAATAATATTCGGTTACCTTTTTCTAAATTGTCAATTACCAATAAGTCACCAAATTATTTGGGGCTTAAAATTTTTAATAGATTACCTATTGAATTAAGATGAGATAAAGTATTTTTTTATCAATTTAAAGTAAAGTTAAAATTATATTTAGTGACCAAATGTTTTTATTCCTTGTGTGAGTTTTTTGCTTTCTAAATATCTACTATACGCATAAGTGACTATTGTTATACAGTTTGTAAATGTCTCAAAACATAATAAAATCTATCTATCAATCGCTTTACGTATACGTACCAATTTTTATTGCTGTACTTACAATAATAAAAAATATATGGGAGAAATAAGAAAAGCCAAGTTTTAAATTTTTTCATCTTATTTCACAAACGGTGCAACTTATCTCAAATTTCTATCCATAACCTGATATGGCATAAAAGTATGCTCTTTTCTTATAATTTAACTAACCCTGTATATCTTCTAGTAATAGGAGATAGTAACGGTGTACACCTTATAAGTGACCACTTTGTATAGTACCTAAATATTTATACTTCTTTAAATTTATCAATTTAAATTTATATTTTAATCATCAGGAAGTTTAATTCTTACTTTGGAAAAAAAACTAGCTCTTTAACCAAAGGTTGTGTGTCAATGTAAAACGGTGGCTTGTAATATAACCTGATTAATGACTCTGACCATGCACTTTCTAGTTTTCATTTTACAAGATTATTATTTCTCCGACAAAAATTTCATAAAAACCGTCAAAGCAATCCACCCCTTCTAGGAGAGATGCTTATTTTGTTCCCTTTACAGCCTACACTGCAAGTTTATTAGAAGCAAAACATAGGATTTGGGCAATTAGCATTTATTCTAAGGAAAATGCTGTAACCAAATTAAAATAGGATCGTTATTATGAAGGTTATTTCAAAACTCAGCTTCACTTTATTGAAAGGAGAAGCAAAAAGTGATTCATTTTTTAACTAATATTTTATTGATGCATTTACTATCTTCTAATTCTGATAAAATATAGGTGAAAAGGTAATTCATAACAACAGGAAGATGTTCGAAGTGATTTGTAGAAAAGCTGGACAAACGACAAAGCGGAATTAGAACAGAAGTGAACTAATTCTAAAGAAAATACTCACCCGGTAAAAATGTTACGCCTATCCAAGCACATATTGGCATAAGTGTGTGGTGATAAACATGGAGATAAGAAACCTGGTTGTTCTTTTTCCTCAAAACGAAAAAAACCTAAAATTTTCAGTTTTAAAACAATCCTGACTAAGTAAATGACAAGAACTTACCGTGTCCAAAAGTTCAACTAATTTGAGCATGAAGTATAACCAAACTGCTCTCGCCATCTAAAAGTATTTTTAAGTTTTAGTTTTCGGATACGGTTCTAATGACTCTTCAATATCATTGACGTCAAATAAAATAATACAGAAAATTGTTTTATCAGTTAATTGATTTAATTATAAATAGCAAAAAGTTAATAATATATGTGGTGTAAATACTAAATTTACATATTAATAGATTTAATTACAAAGAAGAAAATATTGATAGTGTTTATTTTAAGTAAATGATAATATTGCATTTTAATGAGTAAGAAAAAATGAAATGTATGTTTAGTATAAATAATAATTATTAGTTATTAATTTGAGAATTAGCGATAAAGAATTAAGCATTCCCATAATTAGAGAAAAATACTATTTTGGGTCAAGAATAAACAAAATAAATAAATAAGTATTTTCTTGAGGAAAGAAAATTTACGTCATTCTATTCTGTAGTATTTTTTACTAAATATTTACTACTTCATGAAATATTTATTGTTATTTTGCAATTACAATGTTTCTTATTGTTCGAATATTTACAAATAACGTTACTGCAATTACAAGATGTTTAATTAATAATGACACACAGCTTAATGGAAAATTCCTAATTTCAATATGGAATGAGCCAAACGTGTTTTTGTATAAAAATGTTACTCGTTTTCAATATACATACGTAGTGCAAAGTTATTTTTTTTAATTCCGACAGTATTTCAAAAACTGTTTCATCAATTAAGTTGCAAATTTCATCATTATGTTTTTTAGCACGAGAATTTTAAAAATAGTAGTAATTTTGTGCTAGGTTTTTGAGAGCGTTAGTTACATATTCTGTTGGAACGAATATGAACAACTACTGACTCACTTCGAGTTAAAATAGTGAAAATTTGATTTATTTTAAGTGACAATGGTGTATTTGTTTAAAGTAAAATAACACATTTAGGTTTTTTCTTTTCAATCTAAAAGAAGTATTTGGTCCAATCGCTCTATTTTGACTCTCATTAAGCTGGGTAGTCATTGAAACATCCTCAGTATGGTGGTAAATGTTTTTGTCTTACCCTAAGCCCTTTCTCTCCAGGCACAACTGGTTGACAGCTAAATGAGTAGTCATTAAGCCAACCTGCTTGTAAACCCTAAAAATAATAAGGTATGAATCTTTTCCATTATAAGTCATTTATATCGTATTACCAATGAGGTAAAGTTATGAATCATAAATGATAAGAACAAGTCAAGAACAGGTATCAATAAACGAAGATTGCCTTGATACAAATTAGTTGAATTTCATGATTAAATACAAAATGCTACTAATTTATTTTTAAAAAGAAACCGAAGAAGCTTCGGTAAAAATCAAAAAGAAAATGCGGAACATACACGAACGATTGTCGGTTATTAGTAACCTATTTTTGAGTTATGTAGGCAAAAAAGTGGGGGATACAATATTTATGTAGTGTGGAAAGAACAGAATTACTTATAAGAACTTATAAAATATATAAGATGAGAAGTAAACATTCAGAAAAGAGTATTTGACAAGATATGTACCTAAGGCAAATATTTGAAAGGTATCTCTTGAAAATTTTGTGAAAAATTAAGCTTAAAAAACTGTAACAAAACTGTTAATTATGGCATTAAAGCGATTCATCACATTACAACAATAACTGTATTGAAAATATGTTGAGTATATTATAGTATCACATTGAATAACAGAATTTTTAAGTAACTGGTTATTGTGTAAGATTATTGAAAAATTTTTTAGAAGGCAGTACCAAATTAGAATGACGAGATTGAAAATAATTGATCATATCCAAAGTGATATAAATTAAAGAAATAGCAATGTTAAAAAAGATATCAGTGAAAAGATACATTGAAAAAGAAAGCTGTTGAACAAACAGCCAAAAAAATTTGATCTAGACAAATTAAGATTAAATGAGAATATGGATCGACATATTTGGCTATAAAAATAATAATGAGTTGGGGAATTAATAATGTCTATTTTTTCAAATTTAAAAATTCACATGGAAATTAAACGTAAATTGTCAAATTGACAGATGCCGTTATTGCTCTATAAGATTGTCTTTGGTTGCTTCGTTAGATTTAATTTTTGTGAATTCTTGTTCATTTGAAATGGAACGTCAAGTTGATAAAATTGTTAGGCACTTGCTTCATTTTTGTTTTTAATCAAGACGGGCAAAACACTAAAGCCGCTTAAGCTGATCGGGAAATTTCTGCTGTATGTACAGGGTGTTGCGGATTAGAGAGATTCTTCTGTAACTTTGTAACTGTCAAATTTATAAAAAAATGGTTTTAATAAAAGTTGTCTGGAATCATGTGCGCCATGTAAAGAATATTTTTTGCTTTACAGGGTGTTCCATTTCGCGTTGGCGCTACATAACTTTGTTATTTTAAATGGAACACCCTGTATACTACTGCGTTTTTGAATTCCTTGGCTAATTTTGAAAAGAATCACGATTTCAGCTCTCTAAATGAGGCTAGATAGCGTCTAAATCGTAGGAGTTAGAAACCTGCAGTTTTCACAGTTCGTTTTGCCATATCTTGTCATCTATGAGGAAAACGTATACGTTATTCAGACTCGGAAATACTGAGACCTATATTTAATAATCTTACAAGTTGAAACACTTTTTTTTTCAAATGGAATGACCCATATTAATTGCCATGGGTGAATACAAAATTGAATGCCCTTTCGACTGATATAAGGTTGTCCATACTTATCTTTAAACAGTTTTCCAGAAAAATCAGGTTCTCTTCTAATGTCCGAAAAAGTAGCTATGTAACAGCATCAAGATGACCTTGCATTGTATTAGTACAACGTCGATACATATGATTTTACAAAAGCACATCCTTGTCGCATCCAATTACACCAAGAGTTACTAAAAGTAGACTTGCAGCGGAGACTGGAGTTTTGTCAGTGGGCACTTGAGTTATTAAATCAAGATAATGATTTTTTTTAAACGTGTCATGTTCTCCGATAACGCTACTTTTCATACAAATGGTTTCGTTAATAGTCACAATTGCCCCATTATTATGAAAATTTCCATTTCTGGGAACCCATGTCATTGGATCATTCTTTTTTGACTAGCATCCAACTGGAGCAGTTTATTTAAACTTTTTAACAAATACTATAGAAGATTTGTTAGGCGACATTCATTTAGCTACACTTCGAAGAAAGTTCGTCATTAAACTTTTCCCAACAGATGGATTGGGCGGGGGACCAATGAGTTGGCCTTCAAGGTGTCCAGATATAACAAATTGCGATTTGTTTTTATGGAACCGCGGAAGATATGTGGCAGCGCATTACAGTAGAATTTCAAGAAATTACGCCAGACATGCTGATCAATGTTGAACAGTCTTTTAAAAACCGAATTCGTTTGTGTATTAATCAAAATGGAGGACATTTTGAGTAATTGATGTAAATCAGCGGTCCAAGTATTCTTCTCCTTATTGTGTAACGAGTTTCAGTTTGTTTCGTTTTGCGTTTTGTTTTAGTTGTTGTTAATGGTTTACTTTTGTTTGTCAAACCAGTTTTTAAACATGCCAGTAAATATTGACACTATCAGTTCCAGGCCTGATAAAATGTGAGAGAAAAGTGGTTTTGCAAGGCCTTCTTGATGCTGTTACATAGCTACGTTTTCGGACTTTAGAAAAGAACCTAATTTTACTGGAAAACTGTTAAAGATAAGTATGAACAACCTTATACCAGTCGAAAGGTCATTCAATTTTGCATTAATTTTATTGTTATTTAGTACTTTATAATGACAACTGACACACCTATTTCATGTCTAATACTATATAATAATATTAACGATAACGTAAATAAAACATAATTGTAAGATGGACAGGAAGTAAATTTAGTGTCAGTAGGTGACGAGTGAAATTTCAGCATCAATTTGATTGATGATATTCAAAGGGCTCAATAACTTACCTCATATACTAGGTAGGCGCTGGCAAAAACTTGCATCAGATTATAAGCCTGGATGATGGTCTTAAGATCATAAGGTTTCTTATCTTTCATATACTTTGGACCTGCAGATGAGCAGAAATATACATAGCTTGTTAAAATAACTAGCAAGTGGCCCAATTTTCCCGCTAAGAACCAATCCGCTGTCCTAGGATCTGCAACCAAATAAGTCAGTAGTTAGTTATTTGTAGCATAGTTTTCGTTTTTAGTTTATTTGTTTTGCCAACCGTGAAAAAAAAATAGTGAAACAGAAGGATGAGTCAAGGGTTATAAATAAAATATACATCACTGTAGATCTTCCACTTTAATAAATTCGCTGACGTTTTGAAAATCAGTGTGTTTCCGTTTCCAATACCTGGTAATGGCGAATAAATTAAAACTGCTAAAAATAATTTTAACTCGTAACTCGCACTGAAAACAAAAATAAGTTGACTTTCGAAACGTCAACGACTTATTGAAGTGCGTGATATATCGCGATGTGTATTTTGTATTCTCTATTTGCTTTTTTCAGTGTATGTAAGATGTTTGATTGGACAATAGTATATTGTATACCTAGTAATAAAAGCAATACATTTCCGGACGGCAATGCAAACATTGAGTCCGGGAACGTGCTTTTACTATGAGCTACACATACTATTTTTCCCGAAATGGCAACAATATTGATTGTAACTAGGAAATTTGCATATCTAACATTTCTTCATTTTGAAATCGTTTCCTTGACAATCATTATTTATTTATTGTTGTGATAAAATTCAAATTCGTTTTAATACTGTAAGTGCTAAAATATATTAAAAAATATTTCAAATGGAGACTGGTGATGATGGTGTATCCAGCTGTCCTGGATATCACCAGAGTAAAAAGCAGCTGCAAAAAATGTGAATTTATTACCAAACAAATCTAGGAAAAGTACGTATTCCTTTACAAATGTATCCAGACATATTGCATTGAAAAAATACGACCTATCGATCTGAAAATGTTATGATTGCATACTTTCCGATGTATCTGCAAAGTTGAAGGCTTCTACGTTATGGCTAAATTACTTCACGTTAAAAGCAGCACTTAGTACAAAAGAAGACATTGATATATCAAAATATTTGAAATTACTATAAACCAAAGTCAAAAGTTTTATCAAATAAAAAATTTGAAATGTTTATTACTCAAGCAGCAGATAATACAATACCCAACGGAGAAGGTACGTTTAGATGTAAAATTTTTAAAATATCTAGATATTAGTTTTCCCTTTTTTAGGTTGCTTTAATATTTGGTGTTGCCGATGCATTTCGCTGTGATGAACTGCATCCATTAAATTTGCATGATATAGATGATTTAGGATCAAAGCTTTTGATTAAAATATCGGATAATAAAACGAATGAACCGAGATCATTTGTAATAAATGAAATTTACTCTTTGAGAGTTGCTGCTTTTTCTTTAAATATTCAAATGGGAAAGGTGGCAGGCAAGTAGTAGGAATACATGAATACATCAGTTTGGTAAAATGCCTCAAATTGCAGCAAAATTTTTTAATTTGCCAAATACAGATAAATACAAAGGACATTGTTTCCATCGACCCTCTGCGACTATTAAAAAGGTATGGGGGATGGAAACCTTCAAACGCTGCCAAAGTATACAGGGTGACTCACAACTTATCCAAAAAAAAATTGGGAATAGATGCGGCATGAGAAATGAAATACTGAAATCGGATTTTGCAATCGTCGTTGCCATAGTATTTACCTCTTATCTGTACTATTGTAAACACCTACAATAGTTTTTTAGTAGTTAGTGTCAAAAATGGTTTGCGTGTATAGCAATTCGGAGTTGATGGATATCGTTTTAATTTATGGTATGGTTTGTGTTATGGTGAAGCAAGACAGCGTTTGTGTTAGTTCGTAGAAACTGAGTAAGACGGACCCAAATGTGTTTACACGTTGGTGGATAAAATTTTGAATAATTGTTGTTGTAATATTGTTTATGTCAAATGATTTTATTATTTAAAAACACAAATTAATTTTATTAATTAATAAAAGCAAAAGCCGATATAAAATAGGTGCGATAAAATTCTATTTACATATTTCTTTCCTTTCGAGAGTTTTTGTCCGTTTTTATCACAACGCCATGCCGGTCGCATTGTGCGAGGTCAGGTTTCACAGTGGACCAGTTTCCAGTGCCGTGCAGAAATGTATTTTTAAATCATTTTCGAATTGCCCTTTTTGGTTTTTTCTTTACAAAACTGAATTTATAAGGGCCTCCTGTACATCCAGAATTTATTTTTATTTGGATAAGTTCTGAATCACCCTGAATACATATAGAGGCATTTTTTATAAGTAAACTAAACACAGCATATAAAATATCTAGAGGGGGGAGAATGTATATTTTTCTTATTCTTTTTAGTTATTTCTGCTTTATTTACTGAAGTTTTTTGATGAAAAGTTTAATATTTATGAACCAGATACGAGTGATCCGGAACTGACTACTGTTGGTCGCTATTACAGGAAAGAACGAATAAGAAATCACAAGTAGGGATTTTTGTGGCATGACTACATAAGTAACATGACTTATTTCAATTTTACAAATTTTCCGTCCTAAGGGCTGTGACGTGATCGAAGTTATTGTTCCCAATTTTATAATAAGACGGTAGTATAGAGAAATTAAATACAAACAGATCAAGTCCACACTGATTTTGAAAGCGTTGCAGTGGAAAACAAGATATTTCCAATGTTTATACTCATTACTGATATGTTTTAACTACTTTTGTGCAAATTTACTATCTACATTTATTAAAAAAATTACATTTTAAGTCCAAGATTTATTCCATCACTTCATAAAGATCTTCGTTGGACGTTTTTTATTCTCCTGTTGGCTTTTTTTGTTTTCCCTCCTGTAATAGCGGGCGGCGATTCATGAGTTTTGAGTCACCCTATAGCTTGTCAAACGTAACGTGGCGCGTACAATACACGAAAAAAAAAGTATTTTAAGAATGTACATAAATCAGTACCTTGACTATAATTTGAATAGAGAATACGATTAATTGCAACTTGTATTGCATGTTATCAACAAATTGCATTTAAAATGTTCTATTTAATTTTACTAAATTTTGTTATATGATATTAACTTTCTATGCTATAGGACATATAGAAATAAATTCTAAGAAAAGCCCAGAATTTCATAGATTTTCTACGACAATTTCTATACAGGTTCGGAAAGTCCCCATGGTTCATCGGCCGATACGTGAGAGCGATAAAGTAAGTCATAGAAATCCGTGCGATAGAGAAGGATGGCTATAATGATGGCGTCTCTTAGTCACAGCCCGTTTCGCCCTTCCACAAATAAGATTCACTTCCACTTGTAATTCAACGACCGATGGTCATCTTTGTTTTCGTCGTTTGGCTTTTATTTAATAGATGTCACTACTTATACAATTTCGACTCCGGTATTCCGATATGTTAATACAATCCGTTAACAGAGGGCAACACAACGCGTAACAAAGAAAGCTTTTTACAGTGGCTAGTAGATACCTCTGTTTGTAAATCTAGTGACCTTGGTTCCCCTACTGAGAAGTTATTCAAATGGAGTATAGTGCTCAGCTGCATTTAAAGTTCATTTAGTTGTTATTTAAGTATACATTTTAAAATGACTTAAACATCCCAAGAAAAAAAGCAAAATTTCCTATTTCCCCAATTCCAAAAAAATCTATCTGGCATCACTCTTTCTAGGGCTCACCTTACACAAATTGTGCTGCCCTCTGTTCACGGATTGTATTAACATATCGGAATACCGAAGTCGGAATTGTATAAGTAGTGACATTTATTACAGGAAAGGCAAACAACGAAAACAAAGATGACCACCGGTCGCTGAATTACAAGTGGAAGTGGATCTTATTTGTGGAAGGGCGAAACGGGCGGTGACTATGAGACGCCTTCATTATAGCCATCCTTCTCTATCACACGGATTTCTATAACTTACTTTATCGCTCTCACGTAACGGCCGATGAACCATGGGGACTTTCCGAACCTGTATATTCACATATCACTATTGTTAGAGCGTAAGACGGTCCTGACGTACACATCTTTTTTAAGAGGCCTGCAACATAAATAAAATATATATTTTCTATACCCTCTGCACCCTGCATGGTCAAGTGAAAGCAGATGGGTACGAAGGCTTGTTGAGTCAACATGTCTCTATATTTTGTAAAGTAACGTTTTTAATTAGTAAATATACAGTCCACTTCATCAAAGAAAGTTTGTTTTAATTAAAGTTGTAATGCTATCATAGTGGCAATACAGTAATGCGAAACTATACAACTATAAGCAGCTAACAAGTCAGAATAAATAAGAAATTTTTGCACCGTATTGATATCTTCCAGTTTTTCAAGCAAATCCATTTATTAGAATTTGTTTTGTACAATTATTAATGACCCGGATGGACACCAAGGATAACATACATATATGACAGAGGTGTAACTAATTAATCTAATATAATAAAGGCGTAAAAGCTACAAGTCTAATAAATAATTCTGCGTATGTCAAAGTCAAATCTAACTTATAGTTTTATGAAAAATGTTTATAACAAATTTTATTGTATTACAAGCAATGTATTGTTTTCGTAGAATTATACGAAAATACTTTTTATACATCAGTACAGTTGTTACAGTTTCCTGCTTAAAATAATATATAAAATATATAATAATATAATTTTTCTAAAAGGCATTTGTCAAGGAAAATTCTGATATTTTGGCACACCCACAATTGTGTTTATGACACATAAAAAAGTAAGATTTTTTATTATATACTAATAGCTATATCAGCATTTTACGCAATAAAAAGCAATTGCGGATTGCGTGTACTCATATGTTTACAATCATTACTACATAAACGATAAAGTTTTTACACTTGCTGGTCATCCTCAATATTTCAGTTACTTCGATATTAGAAAGCTCTAAATATTGAAATAATATGATTTCAAGTGATTCTGATAAATTAAATTTAGAATAAACTTAGATTATTTACGTGTGAAGATTGGAATTAAACAGTGATTGAACAATAAGTTGCAAGAACAGCTAAAAAGTTATATTATATAAAATGCAATATCATAGTGATTTAAAAGATGGAATTAAATTATTTAATTATTATTATTATTAGAATTAGTTATTAATAATCAT